TAACAACTTTTTGTTATCGCCTACTTACTTCCAGTGAATCCAATTCCCAATTTAGTAACGTTGTCGAGCGTTCTTTCTTTATAGCCTTCAAAAGAAACCTCCAATTTGGCAGTCTAAAGATACAGATTCATTATGGAAGGTCGGACTGAAGCTGATCTATCCGTTTCATAAATGAAGCCCAATATTGACAAACCACGATGCCAAAGTCCAGGTATTTCCACAGGGAGCCCAATATTCACCATTTGCTTGAGGTTTATTTGCAAAAGATCATTTTGATAGAGTGCTTTTAGTCTCCCTGTTGAATAGGTGACGTCAACTAAATTAGATAAGTTATTTACTATTTTAGCTGACGTCACCTAAATTTGAAACTACGAGTAAACCGCTACTGAGATCAGGGGGAGAAATGATGATAGAATGAATGTCTATTCACTCATTCTCTGGTAAAACAACCCCCCCGGATTAGCATGACCGTTATTTGGCGCGCTTTTACTATTTTAGGTGACGTCAACTAAATAGATCTCYAAGTTAGATAAATTTATCTAACTATTCAACAGTGAGACTGAATGCACTCTATTCAAAATGTAAGCTTATGTCTGATGCAATAGACCGGAACTCAAAATTGGAAGTCAACTCGGAACTCGGAAGTGGGTTGCCCTTGTCGGCAATAGCCGGCCGCTACGGTTAATTACCGTTTATAYCAGCTCAAAGGACATGAACCGTGCCCCCTCAGACAGTATTATAGAACAATAGATARATCCTATCCAGTGGATAAACAGCATCGACTTATGATCCAATGGATAAGGATTTATCCACCAGATAGCACTATCCAGGCTTTGTACAACCGGGACCAGGTGGCTAAGTGCAAAATTTTGGCAAGGTCTATACAGAGCAGACAAAAGCACCCAAATAGGCATGGATGTTGGTTAGGGTTTGGTGATCAATATTAGACCCGGTGCCCAGTTCAAACTTTAGCGGATATCCTGTTAAGGGGTAATAAAGTTTCTAAGAAATTGTCTTGACGGGTTCCCTGTGGTAGAACTTTTAACTTGCCTATTTTACACTAAATGATACCTGAATGACCAGTAACAAACTGCTAAACGATAAAACAACTTGTTTTCATCAAAAGGACAGAAAACACCATTTCAAATTTATCAATATAACCGTTTTCGTGATACAGCAATTCGTACTGGTGCCCAGGCTCCACTCGGTCACTCTTGATAATAGCAAAAAGCCGATGAAAAATTTGTTTAAATTCACGGCAGAAAATGCAGCTTTTACTTATTCTTCGGTTCATTTCTACCTGTTTTTCCGCTTGTTTAATTTCATCTCCACTAGATACATTTCTATTAAAAAYATAGYTGTTTGCAGATATATATTACAATATGATTCTTAATAAAGACGCTATCGCCCTAATACTACAGTTAATACAGACCATGTTCTGATTCTTTCTTTTATTATCTTTCTGAAATTTCAAGCCGATGAGAACCAAGCCAACCTTCAATGATGACACTAAGTACTGTGCTAGTCTGTTGATTAGTGGCTGAAGCACAAAGTATAACAACAACGTACAGCAAAAAAAAAAAAACACGCACAAAATACCTAACAATCTATTAAACATGTACGAAAAGAAAAGAAAAGAAAAGAAAARAAGAAGAGCATATCTTTATCAAACAGCTTCGGACATCTTCGGAATGGTCATCCTCAACGGTCCATGTATCACCACTCTTGCATGAGCCATATCCATCATGTGAAGGGATGTCCTGTCCTCTATGGTAACGTCACTGGTGGTCRAGATGCCTGCCTGAAATATAGCCTTCTCACGGTGTTATATTATGCAGAGCGTTCTGGGACTAGAAAAGGAACATTYGTCCTACAGGTTACATCGGTGAAGTGGCTTTGCGTAGTTTGTGATTATATATATATTTTAAATCATTTTGAACAACATACCAGAGTAAAAGAGATTGTCGATAGCTCTGGAGTGCMTGCAGAACAGTCGACCYATTCTTGCTTCATTGACAGAGCCTAGACTTGCTTGTTCTGTCGTGCATGATGAAGGTCTGCTCCGCTCCGGGGTGCGGAAGTCGCTAGAATCTGTTGATAGCTTCTGGAAGGAAGTCATGGCGCAAGCTCCATGCCAATGAACCGATGGTTTTTTTTCCATTCCGAAACCCTTCCATATATTCGCCTTTGAATTCAATCTGTGAAGGTTGATAAACTTTTTCACAATGATTACCACGACGTCGGTATCCGACCGTCCAAACAAGGCGCATGTCAAAAATAAATCCATCCATAAAATCATCAAATTTGATCCATCTCTAAAAGATGTTGCCCCTGAATTAAGTTAGCAACATGCAAATGCCAATTTACTGTTGACTCGCATATCTTAGCTGTTGAGCTCCCCCAGACCTCCTCGCCTCAGGCTTTGCGAAACCCTTTAATTTCGAGT